GGTATTGAGGAGGGCACCTTTTGGGATGAGCACTGGGTGTTGTATAGAAACCAATTTGACAATAAATTTCATATATAAATTAAAAAAAATAATAAAAAAAAAATAAAAAAAATAAAAAGGCTTTCCCTGCCCATCCTTTTAACATATTTCCCTAATCCATTACTCTACTTCCTTACTCTCCATTCTTTTCTCTCTAGCACTTATCATCATCTGATGTATTGTATATTTATTTGTTTATTATCTGTCTCCCCCAAGAGAATGTAAATTCAGAGGGAGCAGACCTTTATTTTGTTCACTGCTCTTCCCTAAATAATGTGAGCAGAATATTTGTTTATTGGATTCATGCACTTGAGAGAATTATTATATGTAAATGAATTAATGTATAAATGAGTGCTATTAACCCTTTTTTTCCTTTTTCTGGCGTTTTCCAATTTGATATTAAGGTTATTCTGGCTTCACAAAATGAATTGGGTAGCTATCAGACATTTCATATAAAGCATAATTACTCCTTAGGATTCGATAATGTCTAGTGCTTTCTGATAAGTAGAACGTGATGAATGATTTCATTTCTTTAATGTTATGGTTCTACTTAGGTTTCTAAAAAAATTCTTCTTGAGCTATTTTTGGTAGTTAATATTTTCCAATAAAATCGTTGTTGCTGTCTACATTTTTAGGTTAATTGGTATATTAGTTTATTATTGCTGCTGCAACAAATCACTACAAATTTAGTGGCCTAAAACAACACAAATTCATTATCTTACAGTTCTGGAAGTCAGAAGTGTAAAATAAGCAAGCGGGGACTTTTCCAGCTTCTAGAGATTGCTTGACTCATTGCACCACTCTGACCCTTCCAGTTCCCTCTTGTGAGGACCTTTGTGATTTCAGTGGACCCACCTGGATGATAATTCTCCCTATCTCAAGATCTTTAACTGTATCACATCTGCAAAGTCCCTTTTGCCAGATTTTCACAGGTATTGGGAATTAGGATGTGGACATCTTTTGGAGGGCCATTGTTCTATACCTGTCACAATTGGCATCATATTTTTCATTGTATTTTCTCTTCTTTCTAGATGTTGCCTTTTTTTTTTTTTTCATTTCAAAATGTGTTTTTTTTTTTCTTCGTCTGTCACTTTCTCTCTTAATCAGTTTGCCCATTTTATGTTACATGTGTCTGTCTTACCAACTATACCCTGAACAGCTTTAGCAGGCTTCCTGCTAAAGGTTGGAAAGGCATGGTCAGCCATGCCAAGTTAATTTTCGCCCACCTGTCATTTGCCACTAGTTCATCAAACGAAACTACTTTCTTTGTACTCTGGGCATTCTAAGTAACCCCTGTTAGCCTGCTTCCTAACTCGGTGTTAAAGGTAACGATGCATCCTGGACATTTTCACTGTGCGTCCCATTCCCGGAACTGCTCCTTCTCTGCGAAGGAAACCTCTGAGCTTCCTTTCTCTCGAGTCTCAGCCCCTGGGAATACCGAACGAGGTGAGCGGGCTGCTCACCTTACTACTCCTTCGGGGCCGAGGCCTGGGCATGCGCACGGCGGATGGGAAGAGAAAGCACGGGTCTCGCCCCTGCTCCTCCCCACCCGGCTCTGGGACCTGTCAAGCTGGTTCCGACATCTGGGGAATTAACGTGTCCCGCCCATCCCTAGCTCCGCGCCCCGCCCTTGTTCCCTCTCCGCTTCCAGCTCCTGCGAGTGAAAGCAGCTACAAAGGGCTTGAATGAAACGTGTGTGGGTTTAATGAGTCGTAAACCACCAGGGAATCCAGTCTCCCCACAAACCGGCATCTCTCCGAAGAGGCAGAGGAGGGGGAGGAGGCAAGGAGCGGAGCGCTGGGTGTCGCCCTCGCGCGCAGCGACTGGAGCCGCGGGGAGAGGCCGGGCCACCTCCCCCTTTCCGGCCATGCACCGCCTCGCCCGCGGCGGCTCCAGGCACCACACTCTCCGCCCGGGTAGCGCCCGCTGTCGCCGCCACCAGCTCTTTCGGCCGCCGGCACTGGCACCGTCCACCGAGGAGCGGCGCCCGCCCTCCTCACTCCCGCCATCGACTCCCTTCTCCGCCAGGACGCACCGCCCAGCAGCCGGCGCCGCCCCCTGGTCAACTTTGAGCTGGAGGAGAAGCAACTTTGACAGTGACCACGGGTGTCGCATCCCGCTTCTCCACGGCAGCAGCGGCCTGGCGAGTCGCTGGGGTTAGGTGGGGCAAGAGTTTCCCGGGCGCGTCTGCGCGGCGTCTGGCTGTTTGCAACCTGTTTCCAGCGAGCCGGGAGCGGGATTGTGGCTGCCAGTCATCTGAAGAAGGGGAGCTTGTTTTTCTCCCCCTGTAGCGACCTCGGCTTACAACTGGACAAAGCGGTTGAAAGGATGTAAAAAGGCAGCACAACGGTTACCAACTGGATAAAGCTGTATCGAAAGGATGTAAATAGGCAGAGCAACTGTTACCAAGAAGGCAACCACCCAAAGGCAGGGAGGAACGTGGGGCTTGGTCCGGGCTTCTCCCGGTAGCAACATTCATCAACAGTCAGGTGTTGGTTACAACTTTTCAAGGTCAGCCGTCGGGAGCAGTGACTCCCTCTCTGAACCTTGCGGGGGGGATACGCAGCGCTCGGGGTGGGTTCGGCCGAGAGATGCACGGGAAGCCAAAGGAGGAAGGATTGTAGAGGGGGAGGGTTTGTGACCCAAGACCCATCCCCCAACCTCCCCGTAATCTCCCGTCCCCCACTGCCGGGGCGGGGGTGAGTATGTGACATGTGTCTAACTCTCAGCAGCAACTTAGGCAGCAGGTGTCGGTCCTAACCGGGAGCCGCGGCCGCGGGGAGCGCCCTCACCGAGCCATGCGGGCCCCGGGCTCGCCTCTCGCCCGCACCTTGCGGCTGCTGCTTCTGCTACTGCTCAAGGTTTCTGCCTCTCCTGGCCTCGGGTCCGCTTCTTCGCCAAGAAACGAAACTTGCCTGGGGGAAAACTGTTCACCTGCACTGAGCCACCGTCGCAGCAGGGACTCTTGGGGACTGGGAAATTCTGCAGAAGACCTGCTAGCCCGTGCGCTCAGGGAGGAGGAGCAGGGGGCAGCGGTGCGCGCACCGCCCGTTAGGGACATAAGGGCAGCTCCGGGCGGTGACCCAGGTGCAGGCAGAGGGGCGGAGGCGTTGACCGCAGAACCCTCGGGACCTCCAGCCAGGCCGCCTGGAGCCTGGAGGTGGAAAGGTGTCCGAGGTCAGGAGCCCCCTGGAACTTTGGCGAGAGGGAACCCCCCGGCTCTCCAACTCCTCCTTCAGATCTCAGAGGAGGAAGAGAAGGGTCCTAGAGGCTCTGGCATTTCTGGGCACAGCCAGGAGCAGAGTGTGAGGACGGAACCTGGCGCCAGCGACCTTTATTACTGGCCAAGGAGAGGCGGGAAACTCCAGGGCTCCCACCACGACACCCCACCCAAGACGGTCAATGGACTGTCTGGGCACGAAAGGAGGACAATTGCACCCCCTGGCAGGGCGCTGGCCCAGAATGGGTCCTCGGGCGAAGGGATCCACGAGCGCGGGGGTCCCCGCCGGGGAAACAGCACAAACCGACGCTTGAGAATAAAGAACCCCTTCTACCCACTGACCCAGGAGTCCTACGGCGCCTATGCGGTCATGTGTTTGTCTGTGGTGATCTTCGCGACTGGCATCATTGGCAACCTGGCGGTGATGTGCATCGTGTGTCACAACTACTACATGCGGAGCATCTCCAATTCCCTCTTGGCCAACCTGGCCTTCTGGGACTTTCTCATCATCTTCTTCTGCCTTCCGCTTGTCATCTTTCACGAGCTGACGAAAAAGTGGCTGCTGGAGGACTTCTCTTGTAAGATTGTGCCCTATATCGAGGTAATGCCTTCCAGGGGGTCTCAAGCTACTGGCTTTACCCATTTCTGGGATTTATAGCATCAGAACTGCTGTTCCACGCACCTACCTGGCTGCTGAACCCCTTCACTTTTTTTCTGGGTACCTTCCTCCATTTCTCTTGCCAATCATTGAGAGAGAAGGAGGGAGGAAGGAGGGAGGGGGGAGAGAGAGAGAGAGGCAGCTTTGTTCACCCACCTTCAAATTCATTTTCTCCTGGATTACATAATTAATTATGATCTCATAATGTATAGAATTGTTTAGACTTTAAATTTATCTCTCTGAATATGGCATTTATATATATATTTTTTTATTTGGCACCTATCAGAGATTCTAGGGTTAATAAGTGACCAGTCAAGGTTGTCTTACCAGAACTCAGCAACCACAAAAAAACCATGTTTTGTTTATCCAGTAGGGCTCCAATATGATTTCTCCCCAAGAAGATTATTGCATTTTTTCTTAAATATATAAGTTGGAATACTATTTTATTTAATAAAGGAAATCTGCTTTTGTCAGTTGGCTTCATGATATGTTAATAACCTTCCAAAATTAGTTTACGTGTCTTTGGCTCTCTGCCATGCTATCCCATCTAAATTCTTATGTCATTTTTGATTTCTTTCCTTTTCCTTCTCCATTTCTTAACAGTTTTATTTCTTTCGTGTGAATGCACTTAAGCAAGAATAACACGTTGGCCATCATGGCATAGAATTTATATATAGATATATAAATTCTCAGAAGTATACAACATATACTTGTCATTTGTTAGGGTATTGATTGGCTATTTTAAGGGATTGACTAACTCTAGAAAATTTCTTAAGAAGAAGAGGGAATATAACAGGTTCCAAACTTTGGAAACAAAAATATTTCTGAGGAAAATCTTAACTGTTTCTTCTTACAGCTAGTGTCCTGAACCATTATTATGGTGGTTGGAATTTGCTCTTTAAATGGCCTCTCTTTAAACACCAGCTCTTGGAAGGAGCCCAAGTGCTTTGTTGCCAGTTGTGTTTTTAGCCAGCTGGCCCTTGATTTCCTCCATTCAGACTGCCCATTTCATTTATGGAAGCAGAAGAAGGGAAACTGTAAATATTCCAGAGCCCCTGATCCTGTCTGGCACCAGGGCCAGTGACACTATGTTCAACATTGTTCCAGGGCCTAAAGCTAGGGGATAAGTAAACAGAAAACAGTACCTACTTAGAAGAAGTAAGGGAAGAGACAGTAAATGAGACCCTCTGTTATCCTGGCAGGGATCAGATGCAGAATCATTCCATGCTGGCTAAATCAGCTGTTGCTGCTTCACCAAGACCTAGGGTTTCTCTTGTTGCCAGGCTCCAAGTAGCTCTGAAATGTCTAATTTATTTGGTAGTTCATTTTTGAATTGCAGAGGAGGTAATTGAATTCATGTAAGAGAAATGTGCCTATCAATTGCAGCTTCAAGGTCAAGATTTAAGATTTCTCTGATTGTTTGCTTGAATAATGCAGAAGAAATTGACATACAAGAATGAGACAAAAGTAAACTATACAGTGACCAGGAGAGTTACCCGCTCCCCACCCCCCACTGCCGCCATACAAGAGAAGTGTATTGGCTTGTCTAAAATGTACTGGGCATGATAAAACCTTTATACATTAGAGGGAAAAACCATATAAAGAAGACAGAAAAAAAAATGGGGAAAGAAAAAACATATTACCCAAGTTCTTGAAAAAAAAAAAAAAACTTTAAAAGAAAGGAATCCCATCCAAATTCAGAAAAGAATATAAAAACTCAGGTTTAATGCAACCTATGAGTTTTGAGTGATGATGGTATTATGTATGTCTTTTAATTGTTTTTCTGACTCTGAGGATTCTTAAAAAATGTGTATTTTCATTTGTATTTCATTTTTTAATTCTCTGCTTAAGTTTATTTTTTACCTCTTTTATTATTAAAACAATTACTGCTTTTTTTGTTTTGTTTTGTTTTGTTTTGTTTGCTCTGTAGTTTTTCCTATTCTTTATAGCCCTATTTTTTTAGTTATTAGTACTAGGTTTTATTTTCCCTAGAGAAGCAAAGGTTGGAAAAAAATTTACTCATTTTTTTCTTTAAAAATTAGACTATAATATACATTTTTTATTGTTAAAGTAATGAATGACTATCTTCAGATGTAGTGTTTCTACATTCCTACCTAATCCTATTCTTCTGAAATAATTTTATAATGTGTTAGTATGTTTTGTGAAAATAATTATTGGATAGTAGTATCAGCCCCATAGTTCCTGATTTTGAGAACAAGAAATACAGTCCAAAACTCAAAAATAAAACAGTTCTGCCTCCAAGAAGTAAGAGATTTAGTGCCTGTTCCGTGTCACGTCCCTGAGAAATCCGACCCAAATGTGGATATTTGCTTCACAGGAAGTTTATTGGGGTGTGTGCTTAGGTTCAGTGCCTCGTAGGGAATGAAGGAAGCAGAATTGGGCAGGGGGGAAAGTTGAACCGTGATACAGATCCCACTGAGACCTCAGCTGATACCACAGGGAGTTGCAGGGCCCCGAGGGCCTTGTACAATATCCTGAATTGAGGCAAGATGGCCCAGACTTTATGTCCCCTAAAGGGACCAGTCACTGGATGCAAGTTGCTTCTAGGGAGGGGGCATAACCTTGAGCTGGGTGGATCTCTCTGAAGGGCAGTTCCTAGACAGGGATGCAGCTAAGAGCCGTCAATCACCACTAGTCCCAGAAGTTGGAATCAGCACTTTATACCTGAAGGAATTCTGTGGGGAGGCAGTCTGGAACCACAGCCCTCACTACAGTGGCTTTTGAATTATCATGTTAAATTAGAACCAGCGGGCAGTCTGATCCAACCCTCTGATTTTAAAGATGAAACATGAGACCCAGAGAGGAGAAATGATCATCTCAAACATATATACCTATTCCGTGGTAGCCAGACATTTTGTCTCAAGCTTGTTTATTAGACAAACATCTAGGAGGCAAGAATGTCCAGGGAGTGTTTCTTTCGATGTCTGCTCCTTGGTGTCTTTTAAAGAAGATTTTTATATCCAGTAGGTAGGGAAAAAATAAGCCCAGTTAACATCATTTGCTATATGCTGAAGTTTATGGCTTTTTATATTCTTAGGTTTCATCTTGTTTGTCTTACATTAACAGTAAGTTCCAGGGGTGCCTGGCTGGCTCATTTGGTAGAGCATGAAACTCTTGATCTTGGTGTTGTGAGTTCGAGCCCCACATTGTGTATAGGGATTACTTAAAATAAAACCTTTAAAAAAACCCAGAACTTTAAGTTCCAGAGTTGGTAGCTGTTTAAAAAAAAATTTTTTTTTAATTTCAATAATCTGATACAATTGCAGTTTTTAATATGTCAAGCATGATTACTTTAGTTATCAAATCAAGTTGCATAGGTTACATTTCATGTTCTCAAAATCACAAAGTGTTTTAGATTGGTAAAAGACACTATAAATAATTACATTTCTTTAAACTTTCTCAAAAACCTTTCCCCCACCAAATTGTTTTCTTCTTGACCACAAGACTTCTAAAATTATTTGAATTTTATTTCCTTTTATTTAGATTTTGCCTTCTCTTCACTTTTTACTTTCTTATATTTATTTGTTGACATCCCCCCATGCACGTTATTATTGATTTATAGTGTATGATTTACCTTTTAGATAGTAATCTGTTTTGCCTTATCCAGTGTTTTTATTTTTAATATTTCTTAGTATAAAATTTTATCCACAATTAATTTTTATTTTTTATTGATGTATAATTGACATATGATATTAGTTTCAGGTGTACAACATAATGATTTAATAGCTGTGTAATCGTGAAATGATCACCACAATAACTCTAGTTAGTATCCATCACCTTACATAGTTATGACATTCTTTTATCTTATGAAAATCTTAAGATCTACTTTTTTACTTTCCTAGCAACTTTCAAGTATGTAATGCAATGTTATTACCTATAGTCACCATGTTGTACATTACATCCCCATGACTTATTTTATAACTGGAAGCTTGTATCTTTTGACACCCTTCAACCATCCCCAGAAATTCCAGCCTCTAGCAGACACCGGTCTCTTCTCTGTTTCTATGAGCTTGGTTTTTTGTGTTTTGAGATTTTTCATTCTTTAGATTCCATATATAGCTGAGATCATATGGTCTTTGTCTTTCCCGGTCTGGTTTATTTCATTTAGCATAATGCCCTTGAGGTCCTCCATGTTGTTGCAAATGGCAAGATTTCATGCTTTTTTGTGGCAGAATAATATTCCATTGTAAATATATACGCATACATACGCACACCACATTTTCTTTGCCATTCATTCATCAGTGGACACTTAGGTTGTTTCCATATCTTGGCTAATGTAAATCATGCTACAATGAACATAGGGGTGCGTATATCTTTTCAAGTTAGTGTTTTCACGTTCTTCAGATAAATACCCAAAAGTGGAATTGCTACATCATATGGTAATTCTATTTTCAAATTTTTGAGAAATCTCCATACTGTTTTCCATAGTAGCTAGACCACAGTTAATTTGTATTCACAAATTTTCTCTCCTCTCTTCTCTTTGCCTTCTTTTCCTCTTCTACCATAGTTCTTTCCCCACCCCCACCACCCCCCTACAACTTCATTATTAGCATAATCTTAAGGAGACAGTGGAATTTTGGGGAAAGTTGGGCTTGTGTAGAAAAATAGGAGTTGTTTCTTCAGCAGAAATTACACATCTTTGCAATTTACATTCAACTCTTGTTTTTATTTCACTTTGTTGGCATAAGGCTTGACGAGAGTAGCCAGCTTCCTGGGTCTGTTGCTAGAGAGTTGTTTTATCATATTTAATGTTGCTATGAGTGGGAATATAGTGGGAACTGTTGTACTTGATAACTTCTCTCTTTCTATTCCAGGATTCTGGTATCTTTGGGGCCTAGTGATAAATCCTGTAAGGACCAAGGGCAAATGGAATGATAGGAGAAGGGGATAGGAGAGAAGAGAATCTGAGTGGATGGTGGACA